ATGAACACGGCAGACGCTGCCACAGTCGTTCCCCGGCGGCTTTTGGTCAGATCATCTCTCACTTGGGGGGGGGCTGCTTCAAAAGGTATGAAGAGCTCTGAGGAGCCCGGCTACCACGACCTCGTCAGCCGACCGACCACGCTCGTTTAGCGCTGTTCACGACGAGGATGCTGAAGTAGCATTATGTAGTTCAACGTACTTATACAATATAAAATTCGCAGATGCTTAGGCCGTAGTATCATGGGCGTGTGATTTCTTTAAAAAAGCCCCCCTAGTCATTAGAAGCGTCCCGTGAATCCGACGAATCGATGCACATGTGTACGTCCTACATGTGACAGTTCGGTGGGAATAGCAACTCTGGTCGATGCACATCTACCATATAGTGTAAAATGAACGAATATCGAAGTACATGCCCACGTCACTGGTTGAAACACCCGCGGGATAGACAGAAAAGCACATTCTTCGACGAAGGCGTGTCTGCGTTTATTTGTTCACTTGTTGACAGCCATGGTCGTAAATTAAGTTTTGACAGTGCTTGATGGATGACAAACAAAAACGTACACAGAGACGAACTACTTCGAGTCGAGGTAGTGCAGCGAGAAACAGCCAGTGGTTTAAACGGCAATCAAATGACCTATGACTGAGGTTGCAGTCAGCTGACCGCTGTGCGTGTGATAAGGTGATTGAGGTGACGCAATGAGGTAGACGCAATCGGTCGCCGTTTAGCGACTGCCAAGACTGGGACAGTAAGACAGGACGAGTAGAGCTGAGAAAGGCGGAAAGCGAAAGGCGACAGAAACAGTCGTAGCAAAGACGAAGCAAGACAAGACGATGAACGAACGATCACGGCCACGGCAGCTGATTGGACGGTGTAACTGTGCCAAGCCGGGTGACGGGCGGGCGGAACGACACACCGATCGACCGACCGACCAAGCGACCGACCGACCGACCAACCGACGGACGGACGGACGGACGGACAAAAACTTGTTGTGGCCGCTGTAGCAGGCAGTGGTGCGAGTCAGGGCCGCTGAACGACGACTGCCGGACGGACGGACGGACGGACAGCACGGACAGCAGGCCTCATTAGTGACGACAGTGGTGACTGCAGCACCGGCACCGCAAACTTTCACTGGAGACTGACTGTCGTCGAACGGTGGACGACGAAACACGCAGGTGTGTGTGTCTGGCTGGCAAAACGACGACGTCCAACGGTCTGATGACGACCAGAGCCCAAGTGCGGTCGCCGCTGGTGCTGCTGGTGGCGGTCTGCGCCTCGGCACTGATGCCGGGGGCCGGTGCCTCGAAGCTGTTCGCCTCGGAGGACGAGTGCCGCCGCAGCTGCGTCGGCGAACGGGACATCGGCTGTGCCAGTGGGCCGGGCGGTCAGCATCTGTGCCGGTGCGCCTCCAACCATTTCGCCGAAGAGGAGTCCTGCAAGGCCCCCTGCGAGGACATGTACTGGAGCCTGTTCACGACGGGTGCCTGCGTGAAGACCGTCAGCTCAGAGGTGACAGGCGTCTGCCAAACGATGTGTGCCTTCCGGTTCCGCGTCTGGACCACCGCGTTCATCATCGTCCTTTTTGCTTCAGGTAAAAAACACTACGACGCGTCTGCTTCGCAGGTTTTTGACCTCGCGTTCGCTCGGAACCTTGCCACTGGCCTGACTGGGCCGAAGGGAGAGTTGTGTAATGTTGTTTGCTTCATTCCCATGTTGGCCAACGACGCCGCATCGAATTATACCCGATGTATAAATGATAAGGCCGACCTCTGCGGTCAGCGGACACAAATCCTCGGCCTCTCGTTCACCGTTGTTTAAAAGTACTGTTAGCAAAGCCTCTGAGCCTTAATAGCGTACATTACACTTGGCGTCTGTCATTAATGACGATCGAAAATAGTTGTCGTTCGACCTGGATTCGAAAACGTCAGTAGCTGGTGGATATGTAATTGTTTGTTGACCCTCGTCATCCGATGTCAACGCTATTCAGCAGATGTGTTTGAACGATTTCGAGGTTCCATCCGTGTCAAGGATTGTTCAAAACGAACGAGAAGAGGAAAGGAAGGAGCAACAAGGAAAGGAACCAGAAATGAGGAGAAAAAGATGTAGGTAAAGAAAAGGCTGAAGAAGAGATGGAGAAGCCGAAGTGAGAAATGAAGACGAGTAAATCAACGGGACAGTTTTCAATAAAAAAAATTTGCTATAGAGTCTAGCCATCTTGGCATTTTCAGTTGAACGCCTTTGCATTCATTGAAAAGACATTTCTTTTGGAGATGGGGTGATTTTTAGGTAGAAACGAAAGCAATGAAATGCTGTGATCATTTCCGCCATTTCCGCAGTCATTTTCGATTGTAGGGCATTGTTACCTTGTGATATAAGCGCATGACCAGTCCTTCCTCAGTTTACTATTGTGTAAAGGTTGCAATCTCGTTGATAAAACAGTCCATGCTGTTCAATCCCATGGTGATATCGGCAAGCTTAGATGAGAAGAGAGGAGGAGAGAAACTCATGTCCTCATAAAAACAAATAACCACGCTATTCTGGGTTTATTGAAGAATATACATCGATGTGTAGGATTAAATATAAACCGCAATGACACAATATTTTGGGTTTATCGGCTTATATTCAACGCATTTTTGAAACAGAGTCAACTATTATATTCTTCCTCTCATCCGGTTGCATGGGAAGTAACAGTGAATGCCGCTCGAGCCTTCCACGTCGATCGAATAAAGGCGAACTGCGTTTTCAACTCACTTTTCTTAAACGTTTAAAACACAACAGCTATCATCTTTTGGATCTCTCTTATTTCTGCAATGCCAATCCGAAGAGAGTCACTGGTACCGACGCTCAGCTTCACCAC